GGCTAATAATTTACTGTTATATAACTTAGTTTTCATTAATGAATTCGGAGAATTTTCGAGGGACTGGGCGTAGCCGAAACAAAAAGAAATTCGTGAAATTTCTGGTAATCCCTCAATTCCCAGCGAAAAAGGCTCAACTTCTAATTCGTGATGATAGGACCCTATACCAAATTCTTCTTTTCTCGTTTTCTTTTGACCTAGCACCTTAAAAGTAATAGTTTGGGAGGAAGAAAATTCTTTTTGAGTTATTTTTTTTACTTGGTCGGTGTTTTTAACTAAAAGAATGTCTTGGGCAGCAAAAACATTTTTGAAAAAATTTGGTTGAAATTTTAAGTCAGTAAAAGGAATGATAAAAATGTCGCGACTATTATTTGGGTTGTTGCGAATACTATTAGTTAAAATCGAATTATCGTCGGGGACTAGTAAGTGTAAAGGTGAGCGGCCAACAAGGGGGAGGTTGCTGTGTCATATGGAACAACATAAATATTGACGATTTTCTACGAGGCAAGTTTCATCTGCCGCGGATTTCATAGTTCGAAAATAAATAATATTTTTGGTTTCCATAATAAGTTATTTTTGCTGGGGGGATGGAATATCACTAATTATTTTTTCCAACAATAAATCGACATTTTTCCCAGTTTTGGCCGAAATTAAACAAATCTCACTTTCTTGGCAGTTCAGCAGTTCAATAAGTTGGTTTTTAGTAGCTTCTAATTGGGCGTGCGGTAGGTCAATTTTGTTAATTACCGGTAAAATTTTTAAATTAAGCTTTTTAGCAATTTCATAATAAGCCAGGGTTTGAGCTTGAATGCCTTTCACGGCGTCAACCAACAATATTACTCCTTCGCAAGCAGCCAAAGAACGGGATACTTCATACATAAAATCGACATGACCCGGGGTATCAATTAAGTTAAAAATATAAGGTTCAGGGCTTTCCGGCGGATAATACAATTGAACAGCATTTAGTTTAATAGTAATACCTTTTTCTTGTTCCAGGGAAAGACTATCGAGCACTCTGTCCAAAGATTTATTACTGTTTTTTAAATTTGTTAGTTCTAATAAACGGTCAGCCAAAGTAGATTTTCCGTGGTCAATATGAGCAATAATGGAAAAGTTGCGAATTTTGTTGGTTTTAATAAGCATATATGAAATACTGTAAAATTGATGTTTATTTTTTTGATTTATTCAGGCAATGCTTCGATTTTAGTTTCTTAGTTTTGTAAATTTTTTAGTTGCTTTTCTTGTTTTAATATTATTTTTCACTAATCTGATTATTGTTTTCTAATTTTTCTCTTTTTCATTCTTATTCGAATAATCACCACGACCGAAATTAATATTACTGGTGTTAATGCCAAAAATACTATGACCGGTAGAGGAATTTTATTGCTCTGGGCTTTTGGTTTAGATTGTTCTTTTTTGTCTTTATTATCGTTTCCCTTGTTCAATTCTGACGGTTTAGCCCCTGGCTTTGGGGCATCATCCGTTACTTTAAGGCCCGATTTCTCTCCTTTTTCTGGAAGAGGTGGCAAAGGAATTAGTGGTTTTTTTTCTGAGCCTTGGTTGTCTGGATTAAGAGGATTAGTAGGGGAACTTTTTCTTCGGGCTGCCATTATATTTCCTCGAACTGTTTTCACCAAGTCAAAAGTGGTGGCTTGATTGAGAGCTTGGTATTCATTAGTTTGTTGTTCGGGACTTTAGTCTTGTTGCACTTTTGCTTTAAGCTTGCCGAGAATAGGCTGATAGGCGGCTTGTTCTTGCTTTCAATTTCTGCTTTGCTTTTGTAATTCTTAATCTCAGTGGGAAAGTTTTGGAACGGGTCCTTATCAGTTAGAACGAGATCTTCGGCTTCTTTTAGTCAATTAGCAAATTGGGTGATAGCCGCATTTCAGTAATTGGTTAGTTTTTGGGCTTCACTGAGCTTGTCTCAGCGTTGCTGTAATTTAGTGAGAGCGTTGGTTACTTCGGAATTTTTGTTTTTATAGGCTTGTTGGTGGTAGGAGGAAGGGGAAGTCGTAAATTTTTTTAATCTCTCAATGTTACTTTGTATGTAATTATCCTGACATATTTCCGCCGCTTTTAGTGCCATAATTAGTTCTTTTTCCGCCCTTTTGAATTTAATTTCTTCAATAATTTGTGGTTTGGCCTTTTCCAAAGTAGTGTAGGGCATTCTCTCATAATCATGATACTGGGAAGAAATTGTAGCAATCGTGACTGGCGGAGGACCAAATAATTCTTTCTTTATTTCTTTAATAATTTCTTCAATATCTTCTTTAAGTTCAGCAATAGTTTTATTGATTAAACTGAGAAAAAGACCTTCTTGAATTTTTATTTGTGAAACACTACCAATCACTCATAAATCCCCCTCCTTAGCAAAAAAACGAGAATGAACACTATTATTAATATAATCGTCTATTTCTTTATTGGTATAAACCCCGCTACTCTTTAGTTGTTGTTTAATATTCTCTATTGCTTGGAGTTTTTTTTGGTTAAAAACCCGAGTAATGTCAGCCAAAAGTCTAATAACATAATTATCAGCAGCATCCAAATCATTGTTCGCAACTATTAAATCTTTTATTTCCTTTTGGTATCACCGAAACTCTGGGGCTAGTTCAGTTATGGCTATTTGACTAGCGGCTAAATCTCCTTGAATTCGTTTGTAAAATTGATTCTGGACAGTTTTTCGGTCTTCATCGCTGATTTTCTCATCTTCCTCATCATCCCATTCATCATCATCATCATCATTATTATTATTATTACCAGTTTCTTTTTCTTCATCCTCCCTATTTTCATTGTTTTTTCCTTTTTGGCTTCTACTCCCTCCTTTTCTATTTTGCTTTCTTTCTTGCTCTTTCTGCCAACTAGTTCAGTAATTTTTACCACTAAAACTAAGACCGTTTTTTTGACAAACTTCTAACATTTTTTGGTAAATCTCATCGGATTTAAAAATTTTTTTATTTCCATCTTTATCTCTAATACCAGCCCCACCCTTACTATAAATTTCCGGTTTACACCGTAGTATTTCAATATCTTGTATGCTGACATCGGTATTTCTGACAGTTAATTTTTTTAGGTTAAGTAAATCTTTTACTCCAAAAAGACCTCCTGT